GTGGTCTCGGTTCGGGGTTTACAAACTGGTTTCCAAAACTGCGGGAAATCCAAAGTCGTCTGATAAATTAGAGAGCCGTTCTACATATCTTCACAAGAGCAGTCAGTTTTTCAATTAACCAACACGGGTGTTTACTGGTGGAATAAAACCACATCACGTGGATGTTGAATAACCCGACCAGTCAGGGAAATTTCTGAATGAATGACAAAATCTACTATCTGAAATGATTCGAATTTGAATCATTCAAAATTAACCTTGACCTTTTGAAAGCCTCGTTTTCAACCTTAAAGTGCTTGTTTCCGTGGTGACAGTCGTTGTTTCCATTGTGTAAGATCACGTTCCCTTATTGAATGAAAGCATTAGGTTCCTTAGTGACGCATCACGTTTCCATAGTGATCATTTTTCGTTCCCAGAAGTTACAGAATGTCTAGAAGCGAAAGGAATGTTGCTAAGAGACCAACACGTTGTAGCTTGAAGCTTTAAAGGTCACTGAATTTTGGTCCATTGTTTGTGATATTGTTTCATGAGAATGCCAATAAAACAGCGCCTTTGCCATCGTCTTTAGTAACACAAACTTGTTACGCGTTCTTTTCCTGCTCTATGGCTGAAAAGAGAAAGATTATGATTAAATGTATATTAATCAACGCGAATTTTTACTGTCTTTTTAACGATGTAATACTGTATGATGCTACAATTTAAACAACAAAAAAGTTCTAAATAATAAATGTGTCAGACGGGCATCTATTTCAGTTGACTTACACCAAGCACGTAGCGCTCGGCGCTGTAATAAATATCTGTCGAAATTGCAAACTCATTATAAAGAAATACCCAAAACAAATAACAGATCATCTCATGATGAATAACCTCATTCTCCAATCCACTCCAATATTTCCAAAATATCTCTGCCACATTTATATGGATAAATCTCATAGTGCAGCTACTTACTATCTTTTGTTGGTAGCGTATTTTTCTCCTGTGTCTCAGTCTTCTTCAACTTGCTCTTGTCAAACTTTGTGACTTCCGCAAGATCTGGTTTGTCAGACATGATGAATCTGCAAAAATGAAGAAATGTTTTTAAAAAAATCGAGCACATACATTACGGCATTTGAAGGACAAACAGAGCAGAACTTAAAAGATAAGAGTTCTTTTAACCTCCCCCCCCCCCCCAGCCCACTTCAACTCTTCCCTCAAAAAAATGATTCTCCGTCAGCAGGAATACAAAATCAGCTGTGAGCAATGCCAATTACCCAGTTTCTTTCACTATCTATCTTTGTTTTCATTATTTTTATTATTAATATAAGGTCAGAATGCGGTGACAGACGCAATAAGAAGAGTAAAGGTAATAAGTTAGAACAGCCAGAAGTTGTTGTCTGTTTTTATAAACTAACAAAACAAAATGCACGGAAATTATATTTGTTTTGATCGTTTCTGCTGAAAGACCCTATGAGCTTTATTTTGTCGGGGTTCTAAATTTATCCTGAAAAAATATCACGTGGTACACAGGATTTAACATCAAACGTTTTTAAGCTAGCACAAGTGTAAGGTTGAGTCATACGATACATGCACAAACTTCAAACCATAATTTATTTTGTCAAAGAGTATAAGTGGCTTTCTAGTCTTTTACGAGGAGTCTAAACTAGAAATATGTATTTTGGAAAGGCGTGTAAGAGCCTCGACATGGGGTTTGTCATGACACTAACACATCACCAACAACAGGATTTTAACGAGGCTCTGTTTTGGAGAACTCAGATTGGAGGCGTGTCCCCGAGCCTCGTTGCAGTGGTTGGGATAATGATATAACCGCACGCTTATCTCACATTAACAAAAGTTATTCCGCAAACAGCTGTTTATCTTCGAAAAAGTTCAGCGCACCCAGCTGAGTCCACAGATGATGTCTCTCGAGAGATAGACGTAAAAACATATTGAAAAAACCTCAGCCAGACATAAACATCTGCTCAGGCAATACGGCGCGGAGAATCTTTATACGATAACAAAATAAATCACTCAGGAGAATGAAGTCTCAGGGTCACATGGACGACGGTGCTGCACCCTGGTGCCGACTTCATGTTTCATTCGCTTGTATAAGACATAGCAGGCATTTTTTTAAATAAAATAAAAAAGTTGTGCTTCCTCAATAAATTGTAGGTCACCGTTATTTAAATCTGAAACCTAGTCAAAATCTCAGCAACCATAAATAAAGTTCTATGGATAACATATACGACGGTCTTAAAGTATGAAAAAAAAGTCATAAATAACAACTTTAGCGGTCATAAATCTTGTACGTCTCCGGGGTTACCAAATACGAAAATCCAACTCGGTAGTTTGGAAGATTAGAGATCGTTGTGTAAAGCGCAGTAACGTTAAATACAGCACAAAGCGAAACAGATACAGAAACGAGATACGTAGTTGTATTATACCTTGACACCTTTGCAAAGCAGATATCTAGACAAATAGTCGGATATTCAAAAATAGTTCTTTCGTGTCTTTTTTCTTTTTGCGCAGGTGTGGAAATTGCTAAAAGCGCTCAATATTCCTTGGGCGATATGTACCGGTCACCTATTTTTGTGTCATTTGCATAATCCACAGGTTTTGAGCGAGGCTAGGTTTCCTTGTAACAATACAAAGAGAAAACGGAAGAAAAACACAGGTACATTCACACCACCTGATAGCCATTGCAAATTAGACATTAGTAATAAATATATTGATATAAGTGATATATAAATGCCTGTTTGGACAAAGTCCCCAGATAAAAATGGTGATTACGAAACTGACAAGAGATTTAAAGTGGCGATAAAGAAACTGTCACGACGTCCTTGACATTTTTTTTGATTCATTTCTTTTTGGTGCGTCGTTTTTCTGGGGGAGCAGACGAGGATATACATGTATGCCTGTCGCCTTCGTCGTATTATCAGCATCTTTTAATGTGTAAGTACTACGATTAGGAGGTTGTCAGTCAGATTAACTGACTATAAATAAATAAATAAATACAGTTCAACTGGAATCGAATTGTTAACTGGTTTGAGAAGTGCTTACCAAGGAGTACATTCACATTAATAACCTGACTTATGACAGCGCAATAAAAAGAGATGCAAAAAGTGGGGGTTGACATGAAATAATTGACAACAGAATGCGGACATAAATAGCAGGCATTACGACTCGTTCATACCGGCTAAATCTTAGGAATAACATCGACCTTGATAACATCATTAGTCAATCAGTTATTATAGACGGTGGCCACTCGCTGGTCTTAAACGTATTTGAACAATGGACCCACATATAATTTATATTATACATGTGGACCCAGCATTATTATTTTTTTAACAAAGGTGGCGCCATTACGTAACGTTATCCTTGCCAAGAGTGGGGTCGTGAACTTTTTAGCGAGTAGTATTACAGCATGACTAACAAAGAACTTCTTATCCCTGTCAACTCGGGTGCATCATTTAACGACATGGGGGATTGTTCGCTAAGCCTATGTTAGGTAACAGTTGGCCTGAACTAAGATCTAATATCCGTTTATTAGATCTTAGGCCTGAATAAGCAATTCGCTGGCTAAATTTACATTCGTATCTGAAACGGCGTAATCTTCCAGCAAGATCTGCCAGACAAGAAATCTTCAGATCACAGAGATATACTACTAACGAGTTTAGGGCCGACTGTCGGTCCACAATAGGCTTAGTATGAATGCACAATATGATTCATATGCCAAACGCGTTTCAAGGTTTTATTTTTTCCTTAGAACAACTCGGCACGAGACTGGTAAAAACCAATACTGTTTACGACGCTTTCAAAGCCCAGGAATTAAATCCTTCAGCACTACTTTCAGCATTGTACCACCTCTAATAGGCTAATGGCGCTTCAGTTAATATTCGTTCATGCTGGATGAACTTATTCATTACCCAAATGGCAGGTTTATTTATTTTATGTATTTTGTTCAAGTATTCTTTATTTATTTATTTATTTATTTATTTATTTATTTTCACCTGAACCAGTAACTCAGTACAATACTCCTAACAATGTTTCTTTTATTGGGTAAGGGAGTTTGCACGTTAATTTTTCACACGAGTTTCATCAAACGCCCACTGCACCACCCTGCGATTCAGAGGTCCCCCAAACCCACCGCGCGCCATTTAATCCCCATGCTACTATCGTTACCAGTATCCGAGACCTTTTGAACCCTGGGTGAGGTTGATGCACGTGCGCGTGCATGTAATCCACCTTTCATTAAGCCGTGGCAGCAGCAGCGCAGATTGATGCGTCTGCACTTAAACTGGGTATCACTCATATTCATATTCATAACTAGATAAATTAACGACGATGTCTGTCTGGGTCGCGTCTGCATGTGACGAGATCCTTTGTGTCTCGATGGGACGCACTCACACTTAGTTAAGAAAATTCCGATGTGAGTGATACAAGCGACTGGTCAAGGCCCCAAGGCAGGGTAGACTGGGTTTTGGGGGGGGGGGGTCGGCTCGAAAGATCCGGCCTTTTGACCAGAGAAGTTGCTCCGAACAAAAATTAGACCTCGACCCTATGCTCTGCGACAGTTTGACCGATTCAAATATGCTTCAATGTACCCAACTATTTCATTCAAATGTCGGTTATGCAATTTGCTAGATTCCATTTCAAAACGAAATGATTAATAGAATATACACACTCGAAAAATAACTATGATTTATATTAATACGCTATCATTATCATAGGGCTTTATCTCCTTCGCATCTGTTCGCATGTCTGCGAGATGTTTGTCAAAAACACATTCGCGTGTCAAATGGATTAGAAGGAAAATACGGCACTGAACGTGAGATAGAAAACAGACTTACGATCATGTCAGTAAATTTACAAGATAAATTCAACAAGGCTAAAGATTTTGCCTACATCTCTCTATATAAATTATTTATGGTCACAAAGTTAGATTTAAAAACATTTCAAGTTTAATCTTGGGTGATGGTTTTTTTCAATTTTGTTTGTAATACACGTGTGTAAATTTGAGTCAGCTGCAACAAAACTCAACGTAAATAAGTATCAGTATATTCAGACGATTGATTTTTGACAGTAGAAGAGTCTGCGTTATGCGAATTACGATAATTGGATCTTATTTTCCTCCTTTTTTATATTTCAGAATAGACATCCTCAGAATGCACGCAATAAGTCAATCCGCCCTAGGCCCCATTCAGAATAGTGGACTAACTAGTCCGAGGGTCAAATATGGCCGACCCACTTGAATACTTCCCCACGGGATATTTATTCAGGGCCTATTAGCGGATTAGACGACAAGCTTTGTTGTGGGTCGCCATGTTTGACCCTCGGACTAGTTAGTCCGCTATTCTGAATGGAGCCTTACATTGATTTTTACCCTACTGCGCCTGGTCTATATGCAATGACGTGGGGATTATAGAAAAACCTCATTTATGATCCCGTGATGACATCTTTCAACATGGAATCTGTGGCACGACCTGACGGCTGGCCTCTTCATGTAGGAATTTGTATAATTTGCATCACAACATATTGCACAAGCAAGCCTAGGCATATTAATATAGAGCTTTCACACGTATGTTCCAACGCCCACTTAGTTGGCGAATCGACTCGGTTGTTCCACCCAATAATCGGAGAATCTATGAAAATTACACATGAAAGTGTTTCACATAACAGGAGCGGACTGAGGCCGTCCTTTGGGTCTTCCAGAAGACGGTCAGATTTTTTAGATTACATTGACGGATATCTAGTTTTTTCTGTCGGAAGATGATCAAAAAATGGAGGATGGATCAACAAAGATAATTAAGAAGGCTGTCAGAAATATCTCTGAGTCCGCCCCTACATAACTATGAGATTCTGGTTGTCTGGGTTTCTTTCTGTGGCTTTGCGTGACACAATGATAATAGAAACTTTAACATGTGACAGTGAAGAAGCCGACTCACACTGGACTTTGGTAATAAAGCAATAAGGCTGTAAGGAAAATTCTCGCATGCTTCTTCGCTCTAATAAAAACACATGACAACTGTTGTGACGTCACTTATTCTATTGGCAGTGTAAACAAGGAGTTATCTTCTGC